ATTATTTATAATAATTAATAGTAAAATAAAATTATTTTTCAAAAAAATATATCAAATACAATAAGCAGAAATAAATATGTAGACTAACACTTTTGTATACGTGTAACGTAGGCATGTGTAGAAGATGTAACATTAATAAAAGTAGGCAAATTTTATTTCGATACTTTGTCGCTTGTATTCAATGATGAAAGAAAAATGATACATCGGTTCATAAACTTTTATTCTTTTTTCCTATTGGTTGATTTTTCTGTTGTTTTCAGCTCCTGTCATTTTCCAAATTAACTTCTCTAACCCTAAAAGTTGAAAAACAATATGGTGCATTTATCTTTTTTTCAATTTTAAAATTATTATTATTATCATCATCATTATTATTTTTATTATTATTATTATTAATAATTAATGTTAGTCGCGAGTGATAATTGTAGCAAACTATAGTTATAATGACTAATTAAATAGTATAAATTTACTTAACCGCGTAATTTCTCCTCATTATTATGCATGTCTTCTAGAAGCTGATAAAATAAACTACTGAAGAAAAAAAGTATCAACGAGAAAAAAACACGGAATTATTTTTAGCAACTTGTGTTTATTGTGGAGTAAGAATATTAAATAAAAAGGGGAAGAAAGCTAATGAATTAATAAGGATAAGGAATTTAATAATCCTGAGTTGAATATTGATGGGAATAATTGATTAGGGTTGGCGATCAGTACCTAGCGCATTCAAGTTTCACAACAGAAAGAAGCAAATATTGTAACTTATTCAATCTGTACCAAAAAAAATAATATTACTTATATTCATTTCGAATTATTTGTCGTGGTTTTTAAAAATAGTTATCTCAAATTATCTATCATTGAACCCTTTAGTAATTGTTTTTGAAGACTAGGCACACTTTAATTATGGGTTGATGATACATAAATATAATAAATATTCAATAAAAAGAGATTATATCTTAAGATATAAATAAGGATAAGATAGTTAAAATCCTTCTTTATAAATAATTACTTCCTCAGACTTCTACTTATATATCCCCTATTTCAAAAAATAGATTTTTACTTTCATATGTTACTTTAATTAGATAAAACAAGAATTTTTTTTTCTCCATATTATTTATCCTGAATAATTTCTAAGATTTAATACTACGTATCAATCCATAAGGGGAATATGGTAAAAAAATTCTATATATCAAGTAAAAATAAACGAAAATAATACTATTTTTTAAGAAGTGTGTAAAAGATAATTTGTAACGGGAGAGTAATTAGCTTGTCAGAGCTCAGAAAAATTATGCATCATAAATATTCCTATCAATTAAGTCAATGGTAGAGAGTTGGTGGACTTGTTGATAACTTATTCGTCGCACAAAAATATTTACCGCTTGTACGATTTGTTGTTGGTCAAAATAATTACTACCCCTATAATAATGGAAGACAAGTTTTTTTCTTTTGAGAAAATTTATTTATGTTTCAATTTGGTAATTATAAGCTCTTTAAGCAAGTATTATTTTAATCCAAAAACCATACTACCATACAGTATTGACAAGTGTTTTAAGTAGATTTTTTTTTTTTAATTCAGTGAATATTATCTAGTCATATGGCCAGCTTTTATATGGTCCAATTTTTGCAATTTGAAACTTTATCACAACAAAAATACAGAAATAGGAATATTACAATTAGAAACACTATTGTGGACTACGACAAGTCAAGATGGTGTTTAAATGAGACACACTTAATTAGTCATCTCTATATACAATTTTTTCTTTAATTCTTTCTTTTGATTCAGTGGTTCAAATCTGAATATTCATTTTTTAATTTAACCAAATAGTACCGGAAATGGAAGGAATAAAAAGAAATTAAGGTTGGACCAGCACTTTAGAGTTTAGGTAATTTATTTGGCTAAATTTTGAAGAGCAAATAATTAAGGTAATCAAATTACATACACGTGTCACACAAACATATGCGCCACTAATATTTGTACTTGAAAAAAATACTTTATAGATAGTACTTTTAAGTTTTAAGTAAAGAGGAGCTACTTTTTAACCAAATAATTACTCAAATGAAGTGCTTTATTTAGCTACCATATTACCAGCAACGGAAGGAGTTGCTCCTAGAGGTATCGGGATGGAGCTTTGGATATGGAGAAATTTTTAGTAGAGAGTGCTTCCCCACGAATGAGATCTTAATACAAATTCAAAATAGTCGGACTCCTATACACATATCGAACAAAACCAAAAATGAAAAGGTACCCTATTCTTAATTAGAAGCAACCATAAAGCTATTTAGGTACTTCAATTGTTTTTTCTTTTTCTCGACTTTTATTACCAAATGACGTCCAAAATAGATAAATCATATCCACCACAAATGTACTAGTATTGTATTGTACTAACTAATAAAAGCAAAACCAAGTTTAAAATAAATAACAACAATTAAATAGGGTCTGAGTTTTATTTTTGTACCATACCATGGGAACTATATGGTCCAAAAACAATTAATTGTCACTAATCATTGCATTTATTTTTTTAATAAAAATCAAGTTTAAAATAAATAATAACAACTAAATAGGTAGGATCTGAGTTTTATTTTTGTACCATACCATGGGAACTATATGCTCCAAAAACAATTAATTGTAACAAATCATTGCATTTTTTTTTAAATAAAAAAAAGGTGGATATTATATTGTTAGCTCAATAGATTAATGGGTAGCTGTAGAGAATTAAATACTGGGAGGGTAGTGGTCACAACCCCAACTTACAACTACCCCAACTGTACGTCTACATTTTGCTTCAATCTGTAATTAACCTTGATTGCAATTAATGGTAATCTGTCATTATCAAACCTTGACATATAATTTAGTCTTATTTGAGGGCCAAAATGCTTCTAATATCAAATTTTATAAATAGGAAAGTAACTTGACGTTATCTTCCAATATACTGAAAAATCAATAATTTATAAGTATATATTTTCCTCAATCCTTTTGATCTAATTTTTGGACCGTATTCAATAGTGAAAAATAATAAATAAATAAATAAATACAGTACATAAAAAAAACATACCAGATCATGTATGGTTATGCATGTCTGGAATTTCTAAAGCTTTGATAATTAGAGAGTTAATGCTACACAGCAATTTGTTCACTGCTCATTTTGCAAATGTGGAAAGCATCGACACATTCATAACTGTATTTTTCAATGTTTTCGCTTATAGCAAGGGGTAATAACAAAATTAGCGCAATAAAATATGACCCGTCTAATTCGTTTAAATTTGAGCTGATTATTAACCTGCTTAAAATATGATCGGTCTAATCTATTTAAATTTGGGCTGTTTATTAACCTGCTTAATTTTCACTATTAGTTTAACGCATAAATTTTGGGTTGATATATAGTCCAAATTGAACTATGAGAAATTTTGACAAAATATTAAGTATTATTTTTACTTGATATGTTATATATAAATAATATATATATTTTTTAGTTTTATTACGTATTAAAAAAAATATATAATAGAATAAATAAATAAACCACAACTGGGTTTAGGTTATGACCCGCTTTTAGCCAATTTCCATTTAAGTATCTTTTGGGCAGATCAATAACATGTTCATTTATTAATTTAGCTCATTTTGATCGGTTCAAATTTAATCCAACTCGCCTATTCGATACCTCTACTAACTTATAGTCCACAAGGAACGAGTTCTTTATTAAATAAAAAAAGTACAAAAAAGGAAGAAGGAAGAAGAAGGAGGTTGAAGTTAGAGCATCTAACCTTGAATTACAAGATTATGAATATGATTGTGGTTTATTCCTTCAGCCTTAAGCCTTGTCTTATTAATTCCCATTTTATTTATAATAGAATAAAAATGAAACTATTCTGGCCAAATTATCCATTAGTATTAATTTTATCTTCTTTCTTGAGTCACTAATTGATTAAGTCATGTGATCTTGGGTCATTTTCACTTTAAAACAATCACAAGCACATCTTCCTTCTCTATTTGCTGCTTCAAAATATCTTAAAGAATGACTCAATATATATGTATATATGATACTAGGAGATCGGTACACTAAAGCTCACGCTATATGCAAGGTTCAGAGAAAGACCCGATCACAAAGGTTTATTATACGCAGCCTTACATTGCATTTCTGTAATGTATATATGATAATACGCTAAAAAATCAGACATTTAAACTAGATATTTATCCGTTTTAAAAAAAAAGATTTTTGCACACCCTTTAAATGAGACGCTCAATAATCTTTAATCATAAGAGTACTTGTCTAAATTAAACTATACGTACCTGTTATCTCCTTATACTTAATTGACACTACACTAATTCGAACTACAACGATAGAATTAGGGGAGAAATTACTAGATTTTATTTTTTCTATAACGACAAATATTTCAAAATAAATAGATTCTTGAAACCAGGAGGACTAATAAGGAACTCATTTTTATCTCACACTACAAATCAAACATAATGTGTAAATTAAAGTTCTTGATGTATGTCACGAACTTTAATGTTATCCTCAGTATCAAATAAGTTTGATTAATTTTCATTATTTAAGATGATATATCGATCAGAATACTCTAGTAGCAATTGAAACTTGAAACACAAACTTTTCTTTAATCAATTACACACGATAGAGTAAACTTTTGGTTCTTAAAGCATAGTTTTACCAATTTTAACAAAAAATTACGAAAATGACGAATATTATTTCTTTAGGAAAAAAAATGGACCACCAAAGAATGTGGTGCAGTAAAAAGGTTTGCACTTTTTTTAACTAGAGATCTCAAGTTTCGAGCCTTAAGTATGAAAAAATCTTTGATAAGAAGCGCTTTCCTTTGAACGCGCTGCGAAACAAAAAAAAAAAAAGACAAGACAAATGAAAAAACTCCAGCTAAGAGGAAGTTGTGTGACATGACATTTGTTCATTAATTCCTCTCATCTGCCCCTCCATTCATTTAATTTCTTTGCCCCTCACATTTTACTCTTTAAATTCCCACCAATCTTCCCTTTCTATTGTCTTAGCTACAATCAAACAATTTCCCTCCTTTTATTTTCTTTAAAAAAATAAAAAATTCTCTCAGTTTTTTTTTTTTGTTTGTGAAAATGCCAGAACCAGTCCCAAATTTCTCTAACTCTGTTAAGCTGAAATATGTGAAACTTGGTTACCAATACCTTGTTAATAATTTTCTTACTTTCTTGATTGTTCCCATAATGGCTGCTCTCATTATTCAGGTACTAAAATTAGGCCCTGAAGAAATTCTAAGTATTTGGAATTCACTTCACTTTGATCTCCTCCAAATCCTCTGTTCTTCATTCCTCATCGTTTTCATAGCCACAGTTTACTTCATGTCAAAACCAAGATCCATTTACTTAGTAGATTACTCATGTTACAAAGCCCCTGTTACATGCAGAGTACCCTTTTCAACTTTCATGGAACATTCACGTTTAATCTTGAAAGACAATCCAAAAAGTGTTGAATTTCAAATGCGAATTCTTGAAAGGTCAGGTCTTGGTGAGGAAACATGTTTGCCACCAGCAATTCATTATATCCCTCCAACACCAACAATGGAAACTGCTAGAAATGAAGCTGAAGTTGTTATATTCTCTGCTATTGATGACTTGATGCAGAAAACAGGACTTAAGCCTAAAGATATCGATATTCTTATCGTTAACTGTAGCTTGTTTTCTCCAACTCCATCTTTATCTGCTATGGTTGTTAATAAGTACAAGTTGAGAAGTAACATAAAAAGTTACAATCTTTCTGGTATGGGATGTAGTGCTGGTTTAATTTCAATTGATTTGGCTAGAGATCTTCTTCAAGTTGTACCAAATTCATGTGCTTTAGTTGTAAGTACTGAAATTATCACTCCTAATTATTATCAAGGCTCAGAAAGAGCAATGTTACTTCCAAATTGTTTGTTCAGAATGGGTGGTGCTGCTATACTTTTGTCTAACAAGAGAAAAGATAGTAGAAGAGCAAAGTACAGATTAATGCATGTGGTGAGAACACATAAAGGTGCTGATGATAAGGCATTTAAATGTGTTTTTCAACAAGAAGATCCACAAGGAAAAGTTGGTATTAATCTATCAAAAGATCTTATGGTTATAGCAGGGGAAGCTTTGAAATCGAATATTACTACTATCGGTCCGTTGGTTCTTCCAGCATCAGAGCAGCTTCTTTTCTTGTTCACTCTTATTGGAAGGAAGATTTTTAATCCCAAATGGAAAGCTTATATTCCTGATTTCAAACAAGCGTTCGAACATTTTTGCATCCATGCTGGTGGAAGAGCTGTTATTGATGAGCTTCAGAAGAATCTTCAGTTATCTGCTGAACATGTTGAGGCTTCAAGAATGACTCTGCACAAATTTGGTAACCACACTCTTCACTTTATTATATTATGTTTCAACACAAGTATATATGTCGTAATATTTTGAGTTTATTGGTTTTGGATACTTAAAAGGACAACTTAAAGTATCTAGGATCTGTCAAATCTATAAGCAGAACTGTAACTCTACTCCTTGTTTGTCTATGACTGATTCTTTTTCAAGGGCGAATGATCACAACGGTTAGATTTTGAGCGATATGTTTTATATTATGTCTGAACAGGTAACACATCATCGTCTTCACTATGGTATGAGATGAGTTACATCGAGGCGAAAGGAAGGATGAAAAAAGGTGACAGAATATGGCAAATAGCATTTGGAAGTGGATTCAAGTGTAACAGTGCAGTTTGGAAGTGTAACCGCACAATCAAGACACCAACTGATGGACCATGGGATGATTGCATTGATAGGTACCCAGTGTTCATCCCAGAGATTGTGAAGCTGTAACTATTTTACATCTTACAAAGTTATATATTCAAAAATAATAATAAAAGAGGATATTAGGGGTGTTGTTAAATTGAGCAAGTTCGAGACTTTGTTAATTAAACTTCATTAGAAATTAAATGTGTGAGCTCTCAGACACGTGGATAATTCAATGTGCTCATCGGCGCTTGACTGTGGATCATCAGTTTTCATCTTTGTGGACAGCTGGAAAATGGTAGTTGGTCAAATGTCTGCAACATATATACCATTTGCATTTAGTTGTTAGGGTGTTTATTACTGTACGTCCAATGGAAAAACTGTATAATTATTTATTTTTCTCAACTACTACGAATTTATATCATGTACGCTACCCCCTCCTTTTTAGATCAACAGTTATAATTTGATGAATCGTATACACGAAAATAGAATGATAACTGTTTAATGAATTCATTGAAAGTTGTGCCCTTCTGCATTCTTGAAATTAGTCTTTTATAGTACCATTCATGCAAAGCTAATTTCAATTTTGATTCGATCGAACGTAAAAATAATAAATTCAGTTCAATCTGTTGTCGTTGTGTCGCAATGGTGGGGGAAGATGGATTAGCTGGCTAATTGACCATTGTATTCTACTTGCGCTCCATGCAAGTAGCATAGTATAGTAGTAATAAATACGAGCTATATTTAATTAGGTAGTTTTGTTTTTTATAAATTAAATATATGAGCTACGTGGCGGGCAGAACCACGTAACTCTACTTGATTATTCTCATTAATTAATTAACAAATGCTCTCACACGTTGTGAATGGCGCCGGCTAATTAACAAGTAGCTAGGCCAGGTGGCGGTGGAAATGTCATGTGTTTTAATTGATGGAATTTAGTTACGAACGGACAAGTAGAAGATGCTAAATTATTTGCTAAAATTAAGTTTCCATAAACATAAATACTCATGATACCATCGCAAAAGCTACTGAATATGCTCTTTTAATTGCTAAGAAAGATGTTGCTATTAAGCATACTATTAACCTAAAGTGGGAACCTCCATTACTTGGCCATTATAAACTCAATATTGATGGTTCCTCCTTAGGTAATCACGGTGTAGGGGGTATTGGAGTTATACGTAATAATAGAGGTGATTGTATACTAGGCTTCGTGAAGGGTATTCCAAATAGTACTAATACTTTGACATAATTATTAGCTCTTATGCAGGGACTTAAGATTGCAAAGGATAACAACTTGATGCCTTTGAAAATCTCCACAGACTCAATCGAGGTAATAAATTTTATTAACAATGACCACGAATCTTATAGCTCTATAATTTGTGAATGCATGTCATTGATGCAACTATTGAGAGATCTGAAACTCTCGCATACCTATAGAGAGCAAAACAAGGTAGCCGGCCTCTTAGCCAAGGAAGGGGCCAATAGGCGATTATTTGAGCGCACAAGAATTTTGCAAGTTCCTCCGATGTTCGCAAATGAGTCAGTTTGGACAGATATACTAGGAACTACTTATCCAAGGAAAATTTTGACTCATAATATGTTTGATAGCAACCAATGCTACAATATATACATGGAATAATACTATTTCCTTATTTTGTAATGACATTTAAGCTTTTTTGCTAATAATATTATCCAGTTAACCAAAAAAAAAGTAGATCCAAATAATACGTCATAAAAACATTCTAGGAATATCATCATATATTTTAGGGATAAGGGTCTGAAAAATATCCCAACTTTGGTCGAATTTGCTGTTGCGATACTAAACTTTCATGAGGACCTATTACCTCCCTAGACTATTTAATACCGTATTTTAAACATATATATTTGCCCACGTGAACATAAAAAATAATGCAAAATTATAAATAGTAATGTGTCCACGTGGGCACATATATACCTTTAAAATACACTATTAAATAGTTCAGGGGGTAAAAAAAATACGGTATTAAATAGTCTAGGGAGGTAATAGGTCCTCATGAAAGTTTAGTATCGCAACAGCAAATTCGACCAAAGTTGGGATATTTTTCAGACCCTTATCCCTAAAATATATGATGATATTCCTAGAATGTTTTTATGACGTATTATTTGGATCTACTTTTTTTTTGGTTAACTGGATAATATTATTAGCAAAAAAGCTTAAATGTCATTACAAAATAAGGAAATAGTATTATTCCATGTATATATTGTAGCATTGGTTGCTATCAAACATATTATGAGTCAAAATTTTCCTTGGATAAGTAGTTCCTAGTATATCTGTCCAAACTGACTCATTTGCGAACATCGGAGGAACTTGCAAAATTCTTGTGCGCTCAAATAATCGCCTATTGGCCCCTTCCTTGGCTAAGAGGCCGGCTACCTTGTTTTGCTCTCTATAGGTATGCGAGAGTTTCAGATCTCTCAATAGTTGCATCAATGACATGCATTCACAAATTATAGAGCTATAAGATTCGTGGTCATTGTTAATAAAATTTATTACCTCTATTGAGTCTGTGGAGATTTTCAAAGGCATCAAGTTGTTATCCTTTGCAATCTTAAGTCCCTGCATAAGAGCTAATAATTATGTCAAAGTATTAGTACTATTTGGAATACCCTTCACGAAGCCTAGTATACAATCACCTCTATTATTACGTATAACTCCAATACCCCCTACACCGTGATTACCTAAGGAGGAACCATCAATATTGAGTTTATAATGGCCAAGTAATGGAGGTTCCCACTTTAGGTTAATAGTATGCTTAATAGCAACATCTTTCTTAGCAATTAAAAGAGCATATTCAGTAGCTTTTGCGATGGTATCATGAGTATTTATGGGAGTCTTCTTCTTATTAAAGAGATTGTCATTTCTAGTTAACCAAATATGCCATAAGCAAAATGGAATTAGTTCTTTCCATGATAAGAAGTTGTTAAAGGGACTGTTCTTAATTAGATTCCAGGTGTTGGATGATTGTGTTCCAAAATAACTTTACATTACAACAATCATAAATTATATGGTTGATGGTTTCATTTGCAGTCTCGCAGAATGTGCAAACGGAAGACATATTCATGCCAATAAGGTTAAGATATTGGTTAGTAGGTAATCTGTTGTGGTGGAGGAGCCAAATGAAGAACTTAATTTTCCAAATCCAATTGAAGTTTTTGTTACTATTGTGAACAGTGCTATTCTCGTTCGAGTCCAAGAACGTGTAAACAAATTTCATTTCTCTTCTCTCTATTGTTTTCAAGTTCTTGTTTGGATTGAGAATATATGACATATTGTTAAAATTAATGGATAAAATTTAATTGACTAAAAAAAAATATTAACCATGATTTAGATAATTAATATTTTATATATTTGTTTTCAAGAATTTTAGTAACCCCAGAATAAGAATCGGATATTATCTTGTTCATAAATATATTTTAAATTTTTTCCCCTATCCATACTTTTTTTCCTTGCTCTATATATATCTTTCATTTTTATTTTTATTTTTGAATTGATAAAGTCTATATTTTAATTCCCTTGTGAGTTAATATTTTGAAATGGGGAAAAGAAAAGATGAAGAAAAATGTTAAGAAAGAAGTTCATTGTTGATGTATGGAAAAAATGTGGTATCGTATAAATTAATTTTGTCGAAGAAAAGGTAACGATGTTTTTTTTTTTGGAAAAAAAAAAAGAATTGGTTATCTAAATCTTGATTAGAGTCTTTTTAGTCAATTAAATTTTTGATTGTTCATTTAACTTATGTCATGTATTTTCAATCTAAATAAGAACTTGAAAAAAAATAAAGAGTAGAGAAATGAAGAGAAGCTCCATCGATCCATATTTTTACTGTAATATATGTTTTGTTTATGATACGAAAAATCGCTTAAAGATATATACTATTCGTCTTAATTATCATTTGTATGATATACTACTTCCACCATTCATGTTTGACTTGATTGACACATTTCTTAAACATCAATAAACAAAAGATAATTTTACTATATCATTCCTATTTACAATAAGTCATCTAATATTGAAGAGTGATTTAAAAATGATTAGTACTTAATAGTAAATTATTTCTTATAGACACTTTTATTTGGTTGAAAATAGTTGTTTGAAATGATGAAATGGCTATTTATATCATGTCTAATTTGCTAAAAGATACTAAAGTGGGGCTATTACCAAAGTTACATCTCTTTTTATGGGAAATCAAATCTCAAATGGTTCTTACTTAAGGCTTTTAGCCTGCTGAATAGCCCAGTTTCTAAACTCTTAATGGACTGACCCAAGCTTATTACAGGCCCAATATATTTGCTATCAAAATTCTACAATTTGAAGAATTTGGTCCTTACAGACTCACCTGAATTACCCTTCGGCTGATTCGGCTCCATTTGCTACTTTTTATTTGTCTACTTTGAACTTTGCACGCTTCATAAGACATATATTATTAATATGGATATTTTATCACAATATTATATCAATTGATGTATAATCTTAGGTCATGAACAATGAGTTGAGAAATAATTAATTAATGTTAAAAGTAAAACAAGAAAAAAATAATTATCTTTGATTTTTTGATATGTGAAATCTGACAGTAAAAATTAAAAATTATTTTAAAATACTGGACAAGTAAAAGTTAACAGAAAGAGTAATATTAAAACATGCATCCTAATGACTTGATGACTAAACACCCTCTACGTATAACTCAAAGGTTGTAAATTCGAGAAGCAAAAGGTGTGAACAGAAGAGGTAAAAAAAAAAAAAAAACTATAAAATAGTGGACTAAATTGAAGTCATATATTATGAAAATTTTATTACATTATTAGTAGAGAAAAGTCAAATACTTTAATTAATTTGCTATAATAGATAGTCCATCCGTTTCTCGATAAATCTATCATAATGTTGTTAATTCCTTTTTATATACTTTTGAAAATGTGTATCATAACATTGAAAAACATCTTAATTAACGACTCTTTTCTCTCGTTTTCAATCCCTCTTTCCGTCTTTGATGACATCTTTTCACCATCTTAACTTTCTTACCCCCAAAAAATCTTCCGTATCCATCATGCATTTCTACATCTATATTCTTTTTATCACTAAAGTTAACTCTTCTTTTACTTTTACTTTTACTTTTACTCTTAGTGTCATTTAATTTAATTTTTTTGTTATATATATATGGGCAACAAAAAGAATCGAATCACGAGTATCTATTATATACAGTCCTATCTTATATTTCTTTTAAAAGACTTGTTTACACAATTTGAATTTACAACTTCCTAATTACATGATGCAACTTTACCTGTTATTATGCACCATGTAAAGTAAAAAATAAAAAATAAAAATCCATTCCCTCTCTTCTTTTTTTCCTTGAACATCGACTCACTTTTTTTTTTTTTGCTTAATTATTCAAGAGTCGAAAGCTCATTGATCACAAAGTATACCTATTGAAAAAGATAAATCGCTTTCTATTGAGAAGTTTTTCATTTTCAAAGCTTGAATCAGATTATCAAAGAC